GGTATTTCTAAACTCAGGACAAAATTTAGAAACTAATTAACATGGGTGTTTTTGGCAGTTGTAGATGCGTAACAGATTTTGGGGTCAAAGTTAGAAAAAAGTGTTTTTTTTTATTTTTTTCATCATATTTTATAATTTTTGTTATAGTAAATTATATGATATGATGAAAATAATGGTATCTTTAGAAAGAGCATTTAATGGCAAGAAAAATGGTATATATGTGTGGGTACAGTAAATGAGTAAGAGGAAAATTACAGCTAAACACAAACACCGCAGAAATGTAAAAAGAGCCCTGGTCCTTAACGGTAAGAAACTTGAAAAACGGTCTGGTCACTAAGGGGTTAAACAGAATATCTAGGTAATTTGGCATCCACTGCCTATATACCAATTTAATTAACTGGGGTATAGTTGTTAAAAGTTGCAAATGCTCAATAAGCAGGGCATTTCAACTCCAGCATAGGGGCTCTAGAGATTAGATTATGACAAGAAGGTAAAATATAATCAGTACTTAAAGGGACATTATAGTCACCAAAAGAACTGTAGCTTAATGAAGCAGCTGTTGTGTATAGATCATGCCTCAGAAGTTTCAGTGCTCAATTCACTGCCAATTTTGTTTCTGTCCTTGCCACACCTCCCCTTGCTGTGAATGACACGGCCTGCATTAAAAACAAAATGGTTTTATCAGATGTAACTTACTATAAAAGTTTTTATTTCCTGCTCTGTAAACTTTAATTACATTCAGGAGCCTCCTGCAGGGTCTAGCAAACTATTAACCGAGCAGGAGATAAGAAATTTTATAATAAAGGAACTGTAACCATTAGGTGACTCTTTACAGGAAGTGTTTAGGAATGCTGTGTAAGTCACATGCAGGGAGGTGTGCCTAGGGCTGCATAAGCAAATTTATTTAACTCCTAAATGGCAGAAATGTGAGCAGTAACACAGCAGGGCCATGAGCTATACACCAAAGCGGTTTCATTAACCCCTTAAAACCGGAGGGCGTACTATTACACCCTATTCTAAGCGACTCTAAACGTTTTTTTTGTTATGTACCCGGTTGCCGGCAATCCCACGCCGGCGATCGCGGTTGGGGAGACTCACCTGGGATCCCAGGGAGTCCCCCTCGGCGGATCCTGCCTCCTCTGGCCCTCTGGGCCACGTGAGAGTGAGGTCCTTGCGAGGACCTCACAATCACATGGCCGGGTTAGCTGGCTGCTGCATTGCCAGCAGGGGGACTGCCTGTAATGACAGTTAGTCCCCCTGCTGGCCGAATTCAAATAAAATAAAATTAAAATCAGTGTAAAAAAAAATAATTCTATACTTAGATCATATATATATATTATATATATGATCTAAGTATATATATATATACACATATACATACACACACATACACTGTCTAGGTGTATGTTACTATTAATATATATATATAATTATATATTAATATCAAATTACACGTAGACTGATACTGATTATATATAATTATTGTTATATATTTATATATAATATAAAAAAGGTAAATAAGTAAAAAAAATTTTTAAAAATAATTAAAAATAAATAATAAAAAAATATATAAATGTGTTTTATTTCGTTCTAACTGTATTGTGATATTTATATATATATATATTTATATCAAAATACACGTAGAACGAAATAATATATACGTATATATCACTATATGTAACGGACCGTTTAGCATAAAAGGGGAAAAAACCACTTAGACGATAATCCCCCTTTTCAGAGACAGGCACAGCTACGGTATAATCACCAAAACTCACGAACCACCAATAAGTGAATGCTCCAAACTCCCGAACGGCATACAAGGGAATAAGGTAGCACTTCAAATAAACGAACAGGAACCATACGAATAGCTGCTAGCAGGCGAACAGGAAAAGCTTCCAAGCGGCTTACACTCCTGGCAATCAGTCCTTAGCAGCATACAGTAAATCCCCCCCAAAGACGAGACAAGGCTCCGTGTTGAGGGTCAAGCAGTGGTCTGTTTAATGAGGGCTACCTGCCCAGCTTTTATGCAGGTCTCCCACCTGGTGGACACTCCCCTAGGGGACCAAATGGGAGACTGTGACAAGGGACAGACAAGTATACAAAAAGGACACACAGTCACAGTATATTCCCACAATGCATCCTGGCTTCCTCCCCTCTGCCCTGGGAGATAATTGGGAAGTAACTCAATTATCTCCCAAGACAAAGGCAAAACTCCATTACACACGTGGGAACACAAAACCAGCATAACACTTTAAAATGCACAAAGTAACATTTACTACATAAACCACAGACATGTAACATATCCCCAGATAGCTCAGGTCTGAGTGCACATTATTAGGTGAATGGCACTCAGACTACACGAATACAGTTCAATCGCCATGGAGCCAAAGTCTTTACAGTCAGTTTCATACGAATGGGCTCCATGGGATTCCTATCTGGGGTATAAGATATTCACACAAAAATACCGAACACCGGGTCATTTGTGTGCTTTCACCGAACGAGAAGGGAGGTCGGCGGCTTCAGCGGTGTTCGCGCAAAACTGTGTCCGATTTTAGTTCCATGAAAATAGAGGCGAACACCGCTGTTCATTCGTATGGTTTAAAATGGCCGCGACCTCGTGTTCGGGATACGAACGGCGGCCACCCAGCGTTCATCAATTAAGCTGCGGTTAACCGCAGCTTCAGGGAGGTTAATTGCCGGCACACTCCAGCTCCCAGGTGGTCCAGTCATTCGTACGGTTGTTCGGTAGATTGAAACTACCGAACAACCGGCAGAAAAGCACGAATATGGCTTTTCTGCATGGAAAAATAAAGTCTTTTAAAAGGGGGCCATAGTCCAAAGGCAGCAGGCGAGCAACCAGGCTTCTCCAATGCAATGTGGCGAGATTGGTCTCGTCACACTATATATATACCTATATATAAATACAAATATTTTAAAAAATTATATATATATATATATATATATATACACATATATTAATTCTACATATATATTTATGTAATATTTTTACATAGGTAGTAGGTATCTTAATTAATTACAATTTGCTGGACCTGCCTGACAACCCAGGCCAAAAGTATAGGGAATTTAATTTGCTAGCACTATATTTAACCCTATAACTTTCCAAGACACCATAAAACCTGTACATGGGGGGTACTGTTTTATTTGGGAGACTTCGCTGAACACAAATAATAATATATTGATACTTTTTACTGTTTTGAAACACAAATATTTGTGTTCAACGAAGTCTCCCGAGAACAACAGTATCCTTCATGTACAGGTTTTATGGTGTTTTCAAAAGTTACAGGGTCAAATATAAGGCTTGTGTTTCATTTTTTTTTCACATTAATATTCGCCAGATTGGTTACGTTGCTTTTGAGACCCTATGGTAGCCCAAGAATGAAAATTACCCCTATGATGGCATACCATTTGCAATAGTAGACAACCCAACGTATTGTAAATAGGGTATGTCCAGTCTTTTTAGTAGCCACTTAGTCACAAACACTGGCCAAAATTGGCGTTTTTTGCATTTTTCACACACAAACAAATACTAACGCTAACTTTGGCCAGTGTTTGTGACCAAATGGCTGCTAAAAAAGACTGCGTATACCCCATTTGCAATACCTTGGGTTGTCTACTATTGCAAATGGTATGCCACTATGGGTGTAAATTTCATTCCTGGGCTACTATACAGTCTCAAAGACAACGTAACCAATCTGGCGAATTTCAATTTCAAATGTAACGTGCTATATTTGACCCTGTAACTTCCCAAAACACCATAAAACCTGTACATAGGGGGTACTGCTTTACATGTGAGACTTTGCTGAATACAAATATGTGTATTTTATTGCAGTAAAAGCAAACAGTATTATGACATTGACAGTTAAAATGTCATGTAGAACTAAAAAAAATTAAAACAATTCTTATTTTCTTATTAAATTATCTTTCATAGCTAAATATTTGATATTCACTGAAAGACCCGTTTCCCCTGAATAAAATGATATATAATAAGGGTGGGTGCATTTAATATGAAAGAGGTGAATTACGGTTGGACAGACATATAGCACAAATGCCAGGTTTTGTTTACGTTTTGCTTTGTTCACAACGTGTACATTTGGCTCAGTCCTTAAAGGACCACTATAGTGCCAGGAAAACATACTCGTTTTCCTGGCACTATAGTGCCCTGAGGGTGCCTCCACCCTCAGGGACCACCTCCCGCTGGGCTCTGGGGAGAGGAAGGGGTTGAAATCTTACCTTTCTCCAGCGCCGGGTGGGGAGCTCTCCTCCTCCTCTCTGGTTGAATGCGCATGCGCAGCGGGAGCTGCGCATGCATTCAGCCAGTCTCATAGGAAAGCATTCATAATGCTTTCCTATGGACTCTTGCGTCTTCTCACTGTCATTTTCACAGTGAGAAGCACGCAAACGCCTCTAGCGGCTGTCAATGAGACAGCCACTAGAGGCTTTAGAGGCTGGCTTAACCCAATTATAAACATAGCAGTTTCTCTGAAACTGCTATGTTTATAAAAGAAATGGGTTAACCCTAGCTGGACCAGGCACCTAGACTACTTCATTAAGCTGAAGTGGTCTGGGTGCCTAGAGTGGTCCTTTAAGGGGTTAAGCTAAAGTCGTTTTTGGTGAATATAGTGTCCCTTGGACAACCTCAGTCATGGCCCTTCTTTCCACAAAGCAACTTCTTTTTTAGATGTATGCACAATGTTTCATTGCCCTTGTTTGTGCATTGTACAATGACAATAAAGTTGAATCTGAATGCTTAGTACATACTCAGCTGAGCCAATGAAATATCTGTGAATTGAGCTGCTGATATCATTATACCATATAGCCAATGTACTTCTTGTTATTTGTTCCTTTCCAATGTGTTCTTGTTTATTCCCTTTCCCTTATTACAGCTTTGAAATAATATATAGATAAAAATATGTAGTGTAAAGATAGATGCAGTAGTGAGGAAGCAAAGAGAAGGAATCATTTTGAGCTTTTTGTACTCCCTAATTTTACATGATCATTCACTATTGTCACAGCATGCACACAGTTTCTGGGCACTTTATGTTCTTGACTAATTGTCCTTCAGACTGGTATGTCATGGAATATACTTAGAAAGGAATCAACAATAACAAGATAAACTCACAATTAAATCAGATTTCTTTATTAAGGAGACATTTTACAAAATAACAAAGACAACAATAAACTTAAACAGAGAACACAGAGTTGGGTGGAAAGGAAACAAAGATCCATTAAGAGAAACTTTCCATAAGCTCCACCCCACCCACTGTCTAAAAACATAAAGACAAAGACAGTTTACATGCATATTTAGTCTGGGTATCCTCTCGGATCCCAGCTCTCAGGAATTATGGCTTTTATATCTCAGCATGGCAAAAGGGTTTAGACGCCACAAGACGCAGGAAAAGTCCACCCCCATGCCAGGGTGAGGGGTGGAGTCTATTGCCCGGATAAAAATCCGTAAACATTTAGCAGGATACAAGACACTAGACACACACAAGGGGAAAATAATCAAAGTAAACATACACCCTTCCCTTTATTACCCCTTTTCTATTTATAATATATATATATATATATATTTATATCTATGTACTTTATTTTCCTCTTTAGCATGCGAACATTCGAAAATAGAAAGAAAACTTTAACACAAACTCCACTCATAAATGTATTCAAACTTATAATACTCCAATTTTTTTCTCCACTGCCATAGAAAACAATGAAAGGCTTTGATATTCATTGTCAGCAAAGATGTTAAACAACCGTTGAAGAGATTCATATCACCTTTATGCAGAGGAAGAGGCAACAGGTAAACCTATTCTTGCAATCCTAACTTCTAAACATCTTCAATACTCTGGCTTTAAGGACTGGGTGCAGTATATTGCACAATAAATATGTACAAGTGCATCTATGACAAGGGGAGGATCATTTCTAGGCATAGTATATCTAACCAATTATTTGTGGATACTTAAAGCCAGAGGTGACCTGGTGCGTTAGTGAAGAGCTTTAAAGGTGAGGAAGATTCACACCACTGCATTCAAACAATCACACACTCCTCCCCTCATGCTATTATGTACAAAATGTCTCATGCATATTATATACAGATTATCAAGCACACCTCCGGCTCCCTGTCAGGTACACACACAAACACACAAATTTGTAAGCACACAGACACCCTGTGGCTTTCTGGTGATTTCATTTAGTTTGTGCATATTAACTCTTGGCTATGACACCTCTTTTTGCTTCCGCTAAGCCAAATATATGCACTAAATATAACTTGGGGGCCACCTGGAACAATGTCTTAATATCTCCTTTTCACATATATAACATAACCAGTTCTTTTACCTATCCATCTACAACTTCACTATTGACTTTTTAAAGAGACACTATAGTCACCAGAACAACTACAGCTTAATTTAGTTATTCTGGCATTTTCATGTAAACACTGCCTTTTCAGTGTTTACATTGCCCCTAGGGACACCTCCAAGTGGCCACTCCTTAGACCCACGCGGCGCTGGAAATAAGGTGAGTTTTATACTTTTATAGGGGGGCTATGGGGGCAAGTCACCTATATGGTGAGTTAAACACTATACATGTTTGTGTTCCTAACCCTATAGTGATCCTTTAACATAATCAATCCACCTGTCCAGCATGTAACAAATAACTATAAATCTTTTTTTATATACCTATATTTTATTTGGGCACAGATGGCATTCAGCGCTTTTTTATTTATTTATAAAAGTATTTATGAAGGGTTGAAGAATGTTTCAAAATAACATTAGTTGCTTATGCACAGCCTATGTTACTTTTTTTGAATGGATACTGGCATTATATCCTCAGTAATCAGCAACTCATTAATTAGTACTGCAGTTGCAATATTTCTAGTGTCCACAGGATCCACTTATCACTTCATCAATCCAAGGTCAACAGCATCAGTATAAGTTTGTAAATAATAGCACTTTACTCTAGGACAAAGATGGAAACTAATGAGTGTTAAAAGGAATGCGGTCAAATAATGTGATAATTATATTATTATTTTTTATTATTATTATTCAGTGTATCTGAATATTTACCACTTGCGATGCAATTCTGTTACACTATGTGATGGCCAACATGATGTTTTATATAAAGAGGTTAGAAACATTCAGGTGACCGTTATTTTAAAATTCTGTGTAATCTTTTGTAGTCAGGATCAGATATTTTGGCTTAGAACTCCCATGCTTACAAATATGGCAGACTACCCACTCAACCACGAATATAAAGACTAATCTTACAAACAGTAGAATTATGGAAAGCAGAACAAGTAATGATGCTTCCTATGACAATAAAAAGTCCTTGAAAATGGCAAGTGTCAATTAAACTCTTTGGAAAATTCTTATTTCCTCTCATCAGACTCCATAGCTCACTCTTGCAACATTACACAAGGACATGCTTTTACATTTTAGGCTATCACTTTTGCAGCTAGATAAGCAGACCAAGACATATTTTTTTTTACATCAGGCCATATGTTTTAAGCATATCAAAAATGAAAAAAGGTAATTCGACTGTCACACCTGACCTACAAAAAAGCACCTGTATAAATATCAAAATACACACTTGAGTGTTGCTTTCTGGTACCCCTGTTTGAAAGGGCCTATCTTATATAACTTAGACTAATATATATTCATAATATAATTAAGTATTTTATTGGACTATAATGCCACGTGTCTTTATTTTAAGGTAGAGTTAAAGTGAACTAGGCTCAGGTGTACTTATTGTGCATAGGACATTTTAGCACAACATTCTAATGCTCAGATAATTACAGCTCTGTTCACTTTGCTCAACAGTAAACTATATTGTGAAGAACTGATAAAAAAATAAATAAAAATTTAGTCTACAATAACTATGCTGGCATCATAGCTGTGGTGGAGAATTTTTCAAACTTTGGTTTCATAGCTTTAAAGCAACACTTCAAGCTTTAAAGCAACACTACAACCCTTAGTAGTGGTCATAATGCCGAACGTTCCTTGGTGTCCTCCCAAAGTAAGTAGACAACTGACCTGTTACCTGCTGTGGTAACCCCACCAGGCACTAGCCATTGCCACCTCTGGAACCAGACACTCTTCCACAGGGTTAAGCAGGGTTGTGCCTATTGGCTAAGAGCACTAAGCTGACACGCTCAGCCAATGAGCAAGCTAGGCTCACTGGAGGTAAGCGCTTCATGCTCTAGGCTCCTTGTGAGGCCGAGGTGAGGTGTCAAACCATTCTTAACTGGTTTGACTACTTACTCTGCGAGAGTGCCAAGGCACCCCTGACACAATAACCATTAAGCAGGCTATATTGATTATAGTGCTTGAAGTGTTCCTTAAATTTGGCAAATCATTTTTTTCCTTTCAGCACAACTTTACTGTTTAGTTAACAAGCCTCATTTTTATGACTGCAATCATTATTGAAACATAAATGTAAACAGATGCACAAAGAAACATGGTGATGTATTCCCTTCTATATGTATCTTTAAGTTTCAGGAGGCAGATTTAACTGACTGCTGGGAACAGACATATCAGACTAAAGAAATATTTTAAAGGTCCCTAACATAAAACACTGCAGCCATCTTAATTGATGTATCTGTATATTTTGCACTCACCGCTGTCATGACAGAATTGCCGTTATGTGTCCTACTGTAATGTTTATTTTGTATTGCAATTTCAATAAACAAATTGAAAAAAAAAAAAAAAACCACTGCAGTCATTGACATCAAAATTGTTTTGTTCCCACTGTGAACACTGGCACTTTTCTTTCAACACACCACTTTCACTCTACACTATGGAAGAACATGGTTTCAGTGCATCATAATCTGTAACTTCCATAGCATTTAATACATTGCACATATATTCCCTTTTGATTTACTTCCATTTCCTCTTGCCAAGAGTTACTGGTCTTTGTAGATATGATATCATATCCCAGAGCTCTCTGTAATTAAAGCTCACAGCCTCCCCCAAGGATGCTTGCTTATTCTCCAAAAACCCTCATATATCATCACTACAAACAAAAGGCCTTGCTGATCCTGTGCATCAAACCAGTAGAGGTTTTGCACCTAAATCTGTCAACACATATTTCTAAAATATTTTCTCTCACTGCAGCGTACAATGCAGCAACAAATACATACATTTTAGAAAAGCACCCTGCCAAGCATTTGTCCCACTCTTCATCTAATCAATGTCTAGTAAAACTCCACCCACAATATCTGTATTGTGAACTGGATGACACTGAGCATATCTGCCCTGTCCTTGGCTTTGCATCACAAAATACATGTGATGCCATGTTTGTCCTTTGGACAAATATGGAAGACAATCGATTGTGAAAAGCTGCAAAACACTAAAAATCCAAAAAGGGATCCTCCAACTGATTTTAATAAATCACACTATGCATTCCAAAATTATAGAATAATCCTACAGAATAGTCACATTCAAGGGCCATTTGACAGAAAATATTAAAGTAGTATTGAATTGCAGCTCCCAAAATGTTGTTGGTCTACAATCATCATGTTAGTCTTCCACTATACTTTTCTGGCATTGAAATTCTTTAAAACATTAAGGGAGTTGTGGACCTTTATCATTTTGGGGTGGGCAGAATCCCTATATTAAAAAAGTAACACTGAATACATTTCAACAAGAAATTATTAAATCAAAGGAACCTTCCAGAACATAATGAATAATCCTGTTTATGGTCCAATATAAAAGTCTAACTAGCTTGCCAAGAAAAGATGTTTATGTGGCTCTAGGAATACAAAGCTTTTAGGAACCAATGGCTGTGTTATTATTTATTTATTTATTTGCTATTTTTGAGTAAAGCCAGTTATCTTTGGAAGACCTGTGAAAAATCTACCTTTTTTTTTTCTAAAATACACTCAGAGAAGACAGTATAAATCAAGGTTATTCTAGAACACTTGACATTTTCAAGTGTTCTTGAATATACATTCCTCGAACATCTCATCCCTCAAACAGCTCTAATTTAGTTCAATAGTTTGGTTTCCCAAAATACCAATCAATATTTTGAAAAGCCAATATGCCATCAAGGTGTACTACTTTACTTCTAATTATATTGTGATTGCAAGAGCTGTGTGGGTGAGTTGAAAGTGCTTGTAGATTTGAGTCTGCACAGCAGAATGTGAAGGTAAAGGGGGACTGAGGGGAAAGGGTGTATGCATGAAGAGCCTCTTATTTCTTGCTGCCTAGTGCGAGATCGACCTCTTCTTCAGGTTTGAGAGGGTGCCACTGTGCAATTGGACGTCTTGGATTTGCCAACATGTCTGACCAATGTCGGAGCTCGGTTCCTGTGGCACTGCATCCAACGAAGATTTTACCAATTGCCTCATTCTTGCCCAGTTTATCATAATCCAAGACAGTGATGACAACTTGAACTTTCTATTGAAGGAGAAAACATAATGTTTTATAGATTGCTGTATGTTCATCACTATGTTAATTTCCTGTAATAGATTCAGCTAACTCACATACTGTAGACTACTGCAATGATTGTTAACAATTACTGATTTATAAGAAGTCTGCATTCTAAACAAATGGTGTTGTGCACATAGATTTGTATGCTAGAGAGTACTGTGTGGATATAAAGGTGCACATGGAAAACATGACATCAGAAAATAAACAAATCTACCGTGGACTTGAAAGAAGCTTTGCTATTAAATTACAAATGAAAATAAGTGTACTTTAGGGGTGCACAATCACAATTGCATAACTACTGAGAGATGGAGATGAATGGAAGGGGAAGAGGGGCACTTGTTCCTTGTCTGATAGCATCAGGGTGTGGCTGCCTCATGAAAGCAGTAAAGCCAGTCCACACAAATCATCAGGGAAATATATTGCCAGAATGCCTATTTTCCATAGGCAACAGAACAGAGGCCTAGCTGGGAAAACCCAGAGGCCTTTATTTCTGGAATGACACTAGCTAATACTCGCTGACACTAACTGATATATGTAACAGGTAGTTATATTATGATAGGGGGTTCCTTTTATTTGCTCAAAAATAAATAATAAAATACAAAAATATAACCATACATAAAAAATGTGGAACATGAATCAGCAGTTGCTAAGGCCAGTAAGACATTGATGTACATAATGAGGGGCTTGTGGGGTTGTAATAACATTATACAAATATATGCGGGGCCAATACAAACCAATTTTTTTGGAAACCTATTCATAAACAGGACTGTACATTGGACATAAGGTCATCCTTTTAGATTGGAAGAAATTAGACTTAGTCTAAGACAAGTAAGAACAATAACGATATGGAATTCTCTGCCCGAAGTGTTGGTTTTATCAGAGTCTGTACAGATGTTTAAATAGCAACTGGAATAATACTGGAAAACATTATTTAGGGATATACATTTTAATTTGTGAGATAACAGGTTCTTAATCCGAGAGTTTTGACTGTCATCCTGTGGTTGAGAAATATTTTTTTGCCTACTTTGATGCAAAATTGGAAAACACTTCAAAAAAGGGGGTTTTGCCTTCTTTTGGTTCAACAGCAAAATCAGATGTGAGAAAGGCTGAACTTGATGGACGCAAGTTTTGTTTTCAGTTTATGTAACTATGTAAAAATATTGCCATTACATGAGATGAGCATGTTTTTTTTATAGGAATAAAGGAGAGGAATTACGAGTGCTTCTCTAAACTACATAGCTTTATGGATATCTTGGGATCTATCTATAAACAGTAAGTCTTGCTGAGCTCAGTAAACAGCTGACTTTTCTTAAGCACAGTTGTCTGTCTGTCAGTTGTCTGTTTAGTAAATCCCTTCCTTTTTTTACATTGTGAAACTAGGTAAATGTATATTTGTTTGAAAATGCAATTTTATGAATGTGAAAGCAGGGTGTGTTCATTCAGTTAATGCAGGAGTGCATGTTTGTGGAATATCTGTGCATATGGGATGATGGTGCATATGGGCGTCCGCAGGAATTTTTCCAGTGGGGGTGCATAATTGTAATGACATCCATGCTTGGTCCCTTTTTGACAGTGTAATGAAAGGGAAGGATCATAGTCATTATCACATAAAGCCAGGGTGAATAGCGATTTCACAACTATGGTGTCAGGAATACATGTTTGTATTCCTGGCACTATAGTGTTCCTTTAAGCAAATTAAAGGAACATACTGGTCACAATAACAACTTCATCTAAATAAAAATGCTATGATGCCAGGAAGCCCCTGGGTGCTCTTTCCTTTAAGGGGTGAAACCGCTCACAAATGGTTTAACCCCAAAGGCTTCCACCAGCTCCAGGTCGCTCAGTGGTATTTGGCTTCTGAAACGGAGTGTCAGGAAGTGCAGATTGACGTCAGGCATGGGTGCTGCAGATTGGCTAGAGTGGTCAGTTGACGCTCTAAGCCAATCTCTAGTTCCTGGTTCATAAAAATGTTTAACATTTTATGAATTAGGGAGCCAATCAGCAACACCCCTACCCAGCGGCACTCTGTCCTGACACTCAATAAATAAAAGTGAACACATTAACACTGATATATTTTTTTTACCTGGGGAGATGAGAAGGTCCAAAGTTTCCCTGCCAGGCCCAGGTACCAAAGCCTTATGATGTGGTGTCCAGAATAAATTGGAGGGTTCAGTTCACTTGTCCTTCCTGATAAAATCTCCTTTTCTTCTCTTTCAATTGACACAGTCTTCTTTTTCTTCTGACACTGTCTTCTCTCCTCCTTGGCTTCTTCTGCTCCTTTACCTTTCTGCTACTTTCTGCTTATTTTGGGTCCTCCTGCTCCTTTCTCTTTCTGATCCCTTTCTGCTCCTTGCAGACCCTTTCTGCTCCTTCTCCTACTTTACCTTTGTGCTCCTTGCTGTCCCTTTCTGCTCCTTGCTACCCTTTTCTGCTCCTTCTCCTACTTTACCTTTGTGCTCCTTCTGATTCTTTCTGCTCATTTACCTTTGTGCTCCCTCTGTCCCTTTCTTCTCCTTGCAGACCCTTCCTGCTCCTTGCTGCCCATTCCTGCTCCTTGCAGACCCTTCCTGCTCATTGCTGACCCTTTCTTCTCCATGATGTCCCTTCTCCTACTTTACCTTTGTGATCCTTCTGTCCCTTCCTGCCCTTTCCATCTCCTTGCTGGCCCTTTCTGCTCCTTCTACTTTACCTTTGTGCTGCTTTACCTTCCTGCCCCTTGCTGACCCTTCATGCTGCTTGCTGCCACTTCCTGCTCATTTCTGTTCCTTTGTACTCCTTCTCCTACTTTACCTTTTTGCTCCTTGATGTCCCTTCCTGCTCATTTCTGTTCCTACTCCTTTCTGCTCCTTCTCTTACTTTACCTTCCTGCTCCTCACTTCCCTGATCTGTAGGCTATCCCCCCAATATGCCTCACTTCCTGATCTGTAGGCCATCTCCCCCCCAATATGCCACTTCCCTGATCTGTAGGCTATATCCCCCAATATGCCTAATTTTCCTGATCTGTAGGCTATATCCCCCCAATATGCCTCACTTTTCCTGATCTGTAGGCTATATCCCCCAATATGCCTCACTTTCCTGATCTGTAGGCTATCTCCCCCCTCAATATGCCTCACTTCCTGATCTGTAGGCTATCTCCCCCTCAATATGCCTCACTTCCCTGATCTGTGGGCTATCCCCCCAATATGCCTCACTTCCTGATCTGTAGGCCATCTCCCAATATGCCTCACTTCCCTGATCTGTACGCACCGGTATTGCCCTGTATTTTCAATCTCAGACGGAAAATAGCAGAACAAGCTGAAAAATTCCCTTGCCCCCTTCCCCCCTGCGGACGCCCATGGGATGATGGTCTGTGTTTTGTGTGCATGGCTGAATTCAGGAATTAATGTATGTGGAATGTCAGTGTGTGTATACAAAAGTTACATTTGTATGTAGAAACAGAGCATTTAAAACACAACCATCTCACTGACATAACAGGACAGTGGCTCCAAGTTAGAATTTGAGTAATCTGATTCACTCTTTAAAAAGGTTGTGCACCCCTAGTGTACATAGAAAATAAAATTCAGAAAATGTTTTCATTCTTATATATTTGTATAGATTGAAATCAGCAGTTATGCAAGGAGAAAAACATTACATAAAAATTAATACTAGTAAGGCGTCTCCATAAAGGTATTTTTTATGGGCATGCTCAATGGGCCGAATGGTTCTTATCTGCCGTCACATTCTATGTTTCTATGTTTCTATGCTTGACAAGGAGTGTACAATGAGGATATGGTTCAATATCAACACAAGAGGCAATAGTGCTGTGTGTGAAGATTGATAAAGCCGTGTAAATTTATGCTTACAAAGTGACATATTTGAAAATAGTGGACTGTGTACCTGGATCTGCTCAAAGGGAATCTCGAAGCTGAACGACTCATTGAAATAGGGATTCAATGTCTTTTTCTTCACTGTTGTTTTTTTCTTCTTCAGACGCTTCCCATTCTGCATTAGATGAATCTTAACATAGGGATCTAAGGGGAATTACAAAAATAAGAGATATAACACTAAGATTAGACGAGGAAAGAAAGGAGACAATTATACTAATAAATGTAATAAACCATATAAATTTTTTCAGGCTATTTACTATATGTAGTTGGTGCTTTCATTGTTACTTATTATATATATTATCCCCTCAACATTGAATGTTTTTTTTTTAAATTACTTTCCTTAACCTGCACTAATTATGCACACATTATTATTGCAAAAACTGTAAAAAAAAATACACAAACTGTTTCATTCTTTTTGCATTTTTCTGTATTTTTCTTTATAATAAATAAGTAAATAGGTTAAAAAGGAACATGGTCCAGAGGTAATGAACCACGTCGTAGGTGCAAAACAAGTGTAACACATGACACATGAAGTCATACCTAGATGCTTGTCCAAAATATAATCATGGAATTCTTGTGGCATTTACATGATGTTGAGTATGCTATATTGTTTAAAGGGTAAAACACAGGTATTGTGTTAGATTAAGATTTGCTGTGTTCTGCCTGTCAAAAATGAACCTTTTGCAATCCTTATTCATTCACTGTGTGGATAAAACAGAAGGTAAAAATGGTAGAACGTTGGTTCAAGTCTATTTCCTTTAACACCAACTGTGGGGATGTTAATATTACCCAATTTAATGGTACTAATGAGACAGTGTATTACCTAATTTTACTTATAAATTATATTTACATTAAGGCAATAACACAACAGGTTAACTAAAAAAACAAAAAACTGGTTCACCAGATATTGACAGCTATGTTTGCACACTACCCAGCTAGAGGGAAATGAGACAGGCAAGATGCAAGTCAGAAGAAATATGACCTCTAGATTACAATCTCATGAGTGGATTTCTCCCTTTTGTTTTAGTGTGTCTAATTATGTATCCCCTGTTTGTACAATATCATTGTTAGTTTTGCATAAATTAAAAATTGGGTGAATGAGGTCTAGAGATATAATAAGGGTAAGAACTGGGGATTTCATAATGAGGGATTTAATGTGTAAATGTCATAGTACACACAACTTGTTATTAAATTAAAGTGTGTTAAAGGTTTATTATTCATTTTGAAATAAATTTACAAGAAAAAGTATGTATGTAAGGCTAGGCCTATAGTTGTGGGAGGGGCTTGGTTTCCCTTCTTAAGGAACGCCAGACCTCTCCGCACTACTGTTTCTGGTCTGGCGATTTGTCCCTCTCACCACTCCCTTTTCTCATATCATTATCTAGGGTGGGCCCTCTTATTACAGGCCTACCACACTGTCTATTCCGGCACACCACAATCGACTGTTATATTACTGTATGTCTCATACGAGGAACTTGCATACCTACTTCTAACAGACTCATTATGGCTTTTTATGCCCTGGACACACATAATATATATATATATATATATGTATATATATATATATATATATATACACATACATACATACACACACCCACATACTTTTTATTTTTGAACTGGGTAAAGATTTGAATCATGAATCCTTTCTTGCCATAGAAAATTGTATGTTGGAATAAGTGACAGACTGGTAAAGGATGACACCCTTATAGGTAGCTTGCCTGCTCTTCACAGCAACTACAGCATGTAAACTAAATTTGCCGTGATTATTTCTTCACTGACCGAGTCTTGTGAGACAAACAATCCATCTAATTAATCAATATTCTCTGAGGCATATTCAAATTTATAAATTCATACCTGATATACTTTTTTAATGGACTGGGGAGGTTATATAATTTTTGATAATATAAATGAAAAGCATCCACTATTGTATCTGTCGTCATATGCAGTTTCCCTGAGTCGTCTATGATTTTTTATAAATACGGATTTTGATATTTACATTTTAGAGCCCTTGCCAATATTTTCCCGTACTTGTTACCATAAGACTAAAATGTTCCCTGCGTCAATTGTACTGCCCGTTGTGCCTCAATATTTAATAAGCTTTTCAACTCCATATGGAGAGCGACTAATTACTTATGGATCTTGTAACGGCCACTCTGTGTGTCAGTGGAGTGGACGCCATTGGAGACGTCCTTTTTCCTGGCAAGAGGCTGTGCTGCAGTGTGTTCCAGATGTCCCATCAGCCGAACCAGTGGAGAGAGAGAGAATAGCGGAGCTCTTACAAGAGCTAGTGATTAGTTGGATGCAGTTTCCCTACAATAACGAGACAAGGCTACGTATTGAGGGTTGAGCAAATCTGAAGGTTTAATATGCCAGGCTGGCCTTTTATGCAACTTTTCCCACAAGGTTACCACCCATGTGGACCTTGTGGGGCCCCGAAAAGTAAATTCAACAGCCAATAGTTTACAGTCACAAAGTTAAACACTCCCATTCATTACAGTAAATTCCTTCCCTCTGCTTGGTAGATAATTGAGTTAATTACTGTATCAACTCCATGCGAAAAAATGAACTTTTTACACATTTTCTGAAACATTACAATTATACATCTAATTCCCATAAAACTTATATTTTCTGAAAGGGCATAATTGTGGGACCAACATATTAAAAAATCATGCAAATCGGTTCAGGGGTTCGGGAGATAGATGGAAGTCCCATTTCTGCCTGGCCGCACACGAGGCTCCTGTCCAAAATAGTTCCATGCATTCAGCTGGTGCGGCTGGTCCCTTTTCGTATGTTTAAAAATACTGAACAACCATCCCCATTAGTGTTCGTGCCTTTGATGGTTGTGTGCCACCTCGTTCATATAATGCTTTTACCGAACGCCTCTTTCGTATGAATTGGCACAAATCTAAGTGGTCCTGGAAGTCTCAGCAGTGTGCGGGAGTTTGAGTGTCTGAAAACAGTTCCAGACACTCGATGACCAAATCCCGCTGGACGCGTTCGACAAAACAAGATGGCCACCACCACGTGTTCGTGCATACGAATCGACGGCCACCCAGTGAACCACTTAGAATGTTTAAGTTGTGGTTTGGCACAGAGTCAAGGAGTCAATTGACGGAACAAGACTGGCCTGGGTGGTCTCTTGTTCGACAGTTTGTTCGGATATACGAACGGTTATACGAACAAGTTAGCAGGGCTGTTCGTTTCCAATTCGTATGTTGGAGTTATAAGGTTGCAAGTTTAACTGTTAGTAAGATAACAAGTCTGATGGCCAGGCAATAAACAGGGCATCTGTTACATGGTTCCCTTTTGTGGAACACTCCGGCAGACCCGGTTTGATTCTTTTCGGGACAGCTTGGGGATGTCCGGACTGCTGTTATGGCATAAGTTCCGTTTGCCGGGACAACCCATCAGCATTGCCGTTCTGTTTGCCGGGCCGGTATTGCATAGAGAAATTGTAGGGTTGTAGTGCCAAGCTCCACCGCAATAGTCGGCCGTTGTCCCCTGCAACCCGGCTCAGCCAAACTAGGGGGGGTTGTGGTCGGTGATGAGTGTAAACTCTTGGCCATATAAATAGGGAGTCAATTTCTTTAGAGCCCAAACTATGGCCAGGCATTATTTTTCCTCTGCTGCGTAACTTACTTCCCTGGGTAACAATTTTCGGCTAAGATACGCGACAGGGTGCTCCCCTCCATCCTCTCCGACCTGGCTCAGAACTGCCCCCAGTCCATACATGGAAGCATCTGTGTGGACAACAAAGTGTTTGTTAGGGACGGGGGCAGCCAATACAGGAGCATGGATCAAAGCGTTCTTTTCACAGGAGGGAGACTACAGGACCAGCCTGGGTAGGTTTTCCTTGGTCAAGTCCGTCAGGGGCTTAGCGGTAGTGCTGTAGTCGGGTACAAACTAAGAAGGCCAGCACTTGAGTCTTTTTGCGGGGTGTGGGCCAATTGGCTCAAATTTGGCCAGTTCTGGTCGCTGCTTCCCACACCCTACCCGTTGTCCCAAATACTGGACTTCGGCCATTCCCAGATGGCATTTATCAGGTTTCAGGGTCAGGCCTGCAGCCCGAATCTGATCTAATACGGCTCCTACATGCTGTAAGTGTTCTCCCCATGACTCACTATATATCTCTAAATCATCCAGGTACGCACAAGTGAAGTCCTGGAAGCCATCAAGGCATCTATCCACCAAGCGCTGCAACATGGCTGGGGCATTTTTCATGCCGAATGGCATAACCTTAAATTGGTATAGGCCAAATGGGGTGACAAAAGCCGACTTGGGGATAGCCTCCTTGGCCAGGGGAATCTGCCAATAGCCTTTGCACAGATCGATGGTGGTCAGATAACGTCCCTTGGCGATATGATCTAGGAGTTAATCTGCATGGGGTAGGCATTAGTCACTGTCCGGTTATTAAGGTGTCTATAATCCACGCAGAACCACATGGTCCCATCCTTTTTGGGTACTAGGACTACGGGGGAAGCGCAGGGGGCTGTCCGAGGGCTCTATAACTCCTAGCTTAAGCATGTCCTGGATTTCTTTTCACATCCCCTCTTTAACTGCCTTGGGAATTCGGTAGGGGGGTTGTCTTAGTGGGGCTTGTCATGGGGTTTCTACATGATGGGTCACTAAGGTAGTGTACCCGGGCTCTTGGGGAAAGGTCAACTCCTTCTCGGTGAGAAACTGTCGGAGCTGGCCCTTCTCTGCGGGGTTTAGTGGCTCCCCTAGCTGTATTGTACTAATAAGGCTGCCTGGGGAAGGGTTGGCTAGTAAATCTGGTATGGGCAGACTGTCGGGATCTTCGGTAGCGGGAATGCATATGGCTGCTACGTCCTCGGGTCTTTCATGATATTCCTTTAGCAGATTTACATGAAAGGATTTGCATACCTTTTTGTCCTCGCTACTGGCAATTACATAGGTGGTATCGCAGATCTGCGCTACCACCTTGTAGGGGCCCTGCCAGGATGCTTGACGTTTATTTCCCTTTACTGGCCTAAGCACCAGGACTTTTTGTCCCACCTGGAACGCCCCGATCGTACCATAGTTTCTGTCTGCCCTGGGCCGCATGGAGAATGTCCCTTGCCATCCGGGCCAACTGCTCCATGCAATCCCGAAGTTCCAGAACATATGGCACGATAGGGAACCCCTTATGTTCCATTTCCCCCTCCTAGTGCTCGCGAATGAGATCGAGGGGTCCTCGCACCCTCCTCCTGTAGAGCAGTTCAAAGGGGGAATACCCAGTCGATTCCTGGGGCGCCTCTCGATATGCGAATGAGAGGTGCAGTAGGAATTGCTTCCAGTCTCTGTACTCGTCTGTAAAGGTCCACAGTAACTGTTTCAGGGTACCATTGAAACACTCACAGACACCATTCTGGGGGTGGTATGGGGAGCTGAGTAGGGGTTTGATACCACAGACCTCCCATAACTGCTGGTTGAGGTCTGCGGTAAACTGAGTTCCCCTATCAGATAGAATTTCGTTCGGAAACCCCACTCTGGTAAAAATCCCGACCAAGGCACTGGCAACAGTCTCGGCCTGAATATTCGACAGAGCAACGGCTTCCGGTTAGCGGGTAGCGTAGTCCACCACGGTAAGTATGTATTTCTTACCGGATGGACTGGGGTTAGGTAGGGGTCCTACTAGATCCACAGCCACCCTGCTGAAAGGTTCCTCAATGATCGGCATGGGTAGTAGTCGAGCTTTAGGGTGATCCCCCCTTTTTCCTACTCGTTGGCAGACATCGCATGTACTGCAGTAGCATTGCACGTCCTTAGAGATCCACGGCCAAAAGAATGTCTGGGTAATCCTGTAGGTCGTGCGGTTACCACCCAGATGTCCTGCCAAAGGAATGTCATGCCCGATTCAGAAGTTCCAACCGGTACTTCCTAGCTACTGGCAATTCTGGGATGGGGCGCATCCTCTCTTTCTACCTTCAGTTAACCGGTATAGTCTATCCTTGTCCCAGATAAACCTCTTGTGCCCAGCCCCCCCCGGTCTCTGCTTTCTCTCTGTATTTCTGCAGGGATGGGTCCACTCTGGTTTCTCTCCCAAACTCTTCAGGGGTATCCCAAGCTAAGGGTTTACTGGCTACGGTCAGGTTAGGGGTCGGTGGGACGTTTTCTGCAAGGTGAGCCTGCTAACGAGTGGTCACAGGGCAAGCTGTAACGGCTGGAGTGGGCAGGCTGGAGTGGCCCAAAAGAACTTTGGCTGGCAGGTTGTCCATAATTCCTACTGTGGTCTTGCCAGACCCGACTCCCCAATTCTGGTGTACACAGGCAGTACGGAGACAAATGACAGCTCCTCCGGTGATTCGTGCAGCCACGGTGTGCTTGGACAAATTTTCTAGTTTGACCAAATGTCGTTGGACCAGAGTGATGGTAGCGCCTGTGTCCCGCAGTCCTTGAGCTACTTATCCGTTCACTCATACCTCTTGCCGGTGCTGCTGTCCGTTGTCCGGGGATGCAGCTTGGATGGGGTCTGCCTCATACAAGATCCCCAGGCATTCCTCTGTACCAAGCTCGGTCTCCATACAATGAACCACTGGGGTACTGGGTGGTGCAGCATCCGCTCTGGGTGAGGGTCGCCTCCAAGTTGGAGCGGAGGGCCCTAGTGGACAGTTCTTAATTATGTGCCCCCAACTGTGGCACCGATGACATTGGGTCTTGGAATAGTCCTGGGGGTAATTTGGTGACCCTTGGTAGTGATAGGGGACAGGGGGTATAGGAGCACAGGGCTCAGGGCCAGGGGCAGGAGCCCGAGTTTTCAGGCAGGTGGTCGCGGGGTAGTTTGACTCACCTTCCTGGTCTTGGCATACTCGTCCGCTAACTGGGCAGCATCTTTTAAGGTGAGGAGACACCGGTCTTGTACCTATTCTTGTAGTCCAGTGGATAAATGTTCCATCAGGAATAGCTACAGGACTTCTTCTCCGGTATTGGCATGGCAACCCTTAATCCAGTGGGAAGCCACTCAATGTAACCAGCAGGCCCATCCCATGTGGGAATCCCTGTCTTTTTCTTGGATTCCTGGAAGCGGTGGCGATAAGTCTCAGGGGTCACTGCATAATGTGTGAGGAGGGCTTCCTTGACCAGCTGATACTGTTAAATGTCCTCTTGGGAGAGGGCTCAGAATACTTTGTTTGCCTTCCCAGACAACTTTCCTGAAAGTATGGTGACCCATTGGTCTGGGGGTACCTGGTGTAAAGCATATTGCCTCTCAAAATCAGCCAAGTACCCGTCAATTTTGTCCTCATTCTCCACAAAAGCCTTAAATGCTGCAAAAGGGACTTTCCTCTGTTCTGCTGTCAGGGGAGGGGTAATAACTGCTGATACAATAGGTTGTCTTATCCTTTCTAGTTGTATCTCGTGTTCCCTTCTTTCCTGAATCTCCACTTTTACTGTGAGGAACATCTGATCAATTCGTTCCTTCAATGGGGTTGGCCCATACATTGCCAACCTTGCCCGAACAATGCGCAGGGCCGGCCTTTGGGGTGTGCGAGCTGTGTGGCCGCACAGGGCGCCATGGCAGCAGGGGGTGCCATGTGGCTGACACAGCTTGCACACTCTCTGCCCTCCCTATCCTCTACCCGTGCTTAGCAGAGAGAGACTGTAGGAGGCAGAGCTAAGCGACCAGTGGGGGCAGAGCTAAGCGGTTGGCGGGGCGGAACTATCCAAGGCCCGAATCTGCTGCCTGGTAAGTGAGACCATCTACACCTATAGTGCCCCCTCTACCCCTATAGTGCCCCCATCTACCCTAAAGTGCCCCCCTCTACACCTATAGTGCCCATGTTCCCCATATATCCCTATTGTGTCCCATCTACCCCTATAGTGCCCATGCTCCCCCTATCTACCCCTATAGTGGCCCCCATCTACACCTATAGTGCCCCTACTCCCCCAACTACCTCTATAGTACTATCTACCCCTATAGTGCACCTGCTTTATAGTGCCCCTGTTCCATATCTACCCCATACAGTGCCCCATCTACCCCTATAGTGCCCCTGCCCCCCAACTACCCCTACAGTGCCCAATCTACCTCTATAGTGCCCATACTCCCAATCTACCCCTATAGTGCCCATGCTTCCCATCTACCCCTATAGTGCCCATGCTCCCCATCTACCCCTATAGTGCCCATGCTACCACTATAGTGCCTCCATCTACCCCTATATTGCCCATGCTCCCCATCTATCCCATTTAGTGCCCCCATTTACCCCTATAGTGCCCCCATCTACCCCTATAGTGCCCCCTGTTCCCCATCTATCCCTATAGTGCCCCCATATACCCATATAGTGCCCCTGCTCCCAACTACCCCTGTAGTGCCCCCATCTACCCCTATAGTGCTCATGCTCCCCCGTCTACCCCTATAGTGCCCCTGTTCCCCCATCTTCCCATATAGTGCCTCCCCATCTACTCCTATAGTGTGCATGCTCCCTCCATCTACCCCTATAGTGCCCCTGCTACCTCCATCTACCCCTATAGTGTTCCTGCTCCCCATCTACTCCTATAGTGCCCATGCTCCTCTTCTATAACTATAGTGCCCCTGCACCCCCATCTACCCATATAGTGTCCCATCTATTCCTATATTGCCACTGTTCCCTGTCTATGCTAGTGCCACTGCCCCTTATCTACTACTATAGTGTCCTTGCTCCCCCTTCTGCCCCAGTGCCCCTTCTCCACAATCTACTGCTGTAGTGCCCCATCTACCCCAGTGCACCTGCTCCCCCCATATACTGCTACAGCGCCCCTGCTCCCCATTTACCCCAGTGCCCCTGCTCCCCCTATCTACTGCTCAATACGCACATATAGCAAACACAGTCAGTACACCCATTACAAATATGGCACACAGCCAACACATCAACACACACACAATAAATGTAGCTGTCTTCTGAGTTCCGCCAATCAGAACGTTGCCGCAGATTACCACAGGAAAGCTCTGATACTGTAAGTGCCTGAGCTCATGAGACAGTGACTGATGGTCTGCACCCAGTGAAGGCACTGACCAGATTCCCAGCAAACTGGATCACCAGAGATCAGCATGTCCCCCTCAATGCAAGGTAATGACAGGGAAGAGGGGATAAATGTTTGTTTTTAAATTTTCATTTAATAAATCCCCTATACACATGGATGGGGGGGCGCTGCTAAGATTTTTCGCACAGGGCGCCTGAAGGCCTAAGGCCGGCCCTGACGATGCTTATGACGTCATTCTCATCTGTGTTCGGGACATTTGGTTCGGCCATTTCCATTGACCGATCCAGTTAGTCTAATTCCAATAAGTTAGCGATTAATTCTCTCCGCGGCCGGTTACTTGCAATCCGTCCCCGACTCTCCAGCACATCTTTTAAAGTTGCATACTGGTTCTCCATTTGGTCAGCACTTGCTCTGCGGATAAAAGCACCATCCCACCTCTTCCACCAATATAACGGCCACCCGGTGTGTCAGAGGGGTGTATGCCGTTGGAGACATCCTTTTTCCGGGGGGGTGGGGGGGGGATGTGCTGCAGTGTGTTCCATATGTCCCATCAGCCAAACCAGTGGAGAGAGAGAATAGCGAAGCTCTTACAAGAGCTAGTGATTAGCTGGATGCAGTTTCCCTGCAATAACGAGACAAGGCTACATATTGAGGTTTAAGCAGATCTGAAGGTTTTTATGTGCCAGGCTGGCCTTTTATGCAACTTTTCCCACAAGGTTACCACCCATGTGGACCTTGTGGGGCACCGAAAAATAAATTCAACAGCCAATAATTTACAGTCACAAAGTTAAACACTCCCATTCATTACAGTAAATTCCTCCCCTCTGCTTGGGAGATAATTAGGGATTATTATAGCCTTGGTGAGGGAATAATCTAAATTTTATTAAAGACAGGAGGCAAATATTTGCTTTACCTTCTTTACTGAAACCTCCAGCAGCAAAGAAATAGTTAACAAAACTTTTCAAAACAACCAATCAGAACAAAATAACAGCAGTATAAAACCACTTAGGCAGACCCTCCCACTTCATCTTTCTTTGATGAGGTCGAGCAGGAGAGCAAGGAAACCAACAAATCCACCTTGTAGCAGGCACTTCCAGA